TTTATTAGGTTAGAACAATAAGTTGTAGGAATTTAGTATTTTTGTACATAAATTATATAACAGTTCATATAAATAAAAGCAGAATGGGTGCCAGTCAAAATCCTGACAAACAGAATCCTGAAAGGTCAAAATCCTGACAAAAAAATCCTGACAATTGAAAATCCCGACAGTTAAAATCCTGATGTTCCACAATTGATAATCTATTTTTTTTTTATATTAAAATTTTTTTTATTTACTTCTGTGTTTGTTTATTAACTTCTTTTTTGTAATTTTTTTTAATTTTTCTTTTTTTAGCCAACTTTTCTAAGCTTGTGCATTGCCAGAATTGATTTTAACTTTCTTTTGGGTTTGGTGTCTCACCGGGATTGGTGATTTGGACTTTCTTTTCTTTCTTGTGCTTGTACTTCACTGGGATTGATGATTTAGACTTTCTTTCCTTTCTTGTGCTTAAACTTCTCTGGAATGGTAATTTGGTCTTTTTTTCCTTGTGTTTGTTCTTCACTGGGTTTGGTGCTTTGGACTTTCTTGTGTTTGTTCTTTACCGGGTTTGGTGCTTTGGACTTTCTTTTTCTTAACTTTTTTCGTTGTTTTTCATTTTTCAATGCTTTGAACTACCATTTTTTCTTAGTAGGTTCTTTGCTGGGAATGGTGATTTGGACTTTCTCTCTCTACTTGTATTTGTTTGTTCTTTGCCGAGTTTGGTGCTTTGGACTTTTTTGTATTTGTTCTTCACCAGGTTTGGTGCTTTGGACTTTCTTTTTCTTAACTTTCTTTGTTGTTTTTCATTTTTCAATGCTTTGAACTAACATTTTTTCTTTGTAGATTCTTCACCAGAAATGGTGATTTGGATTTTCTCTTCCTACTTGTGTTTGTTTGTTCTTCACCAGGTTTGGTGCTTTGGACTTTTTTGTGTTTGTTCTTTGTCAGGTTTGGTGCTTTGGACTTTCTTGTATTTGTTTTTCGCCGAGTTTGGTGCTTTGGACTTTCTTTTTCTTAACTTTCTTTGTTGTTTTTTATTTTTCAATACTTTGAACTAACATTTTTTCTTTGTAGATTCTTTGCCAAAAATGGTGATTTGGACTTTCTCTTCCTACTTGTGTTTGTTTGTTCTTCACCAGGTTTGGTGCTTTGGACTTTCTTGTGTTTGTTCTTCGTCGGGTTTGGTGCTTTGAACTTTTTTGTGTTTGTTCTTCGCCGGGAATGGTGATTTGGACTTTGACTATAGTAATAAGTAACTTTCTTAGTTATTTTTCATTTTTCAATGCTTTGAACTAATATTTCTTTTTTTTTTTGTAGGTTCTTCATAGGAATGGTGATTTGGACTTTCTCTCTCTACTTGTGTTTGTTTGTTCTTCACCAGGTTTGGTGCTTTGGACTTTCTTGTGTTTGTTCTTCATCGGATTTGGTGTTTTGGACTTTCTTGTGCTTGTTCTTCGCCGGGTTTGGTGTTTTGGACTTTCTTGTGTTTGTTCTTTGCCAGGTTTGGTACTTTGGACATTCTCCCCTTTCTTGTATTTGTTCTTTGCTAGGTTTGGTGTTTTGGACATTCTATCCTTTCTTGTATTTGTTCTTCGCTGGGTTTGGTGTTTTGGACTTTTTTGTATTTGTTTTTCGCTAGGATTGATGAATTAGACTTTTCTATATAATAATAAGTAACTTTCATTACTTTTTTTTTTTTTAATTTTTTTAACTAAAATTTTACTTTGTAAACTTGTGCTTCATCGCTTATTGTTTCTTATTGTATTTTATAGTGCTCTTGTAGTAGATTGTGCATTTTTTAAAGTTAAGATTAGAATTTAGAGTTAGGGTTGCTAATAAGAGTATATGTAGATTTTACTCGGTATTATGGGGATTTTACTAATAATATGATTTGTGATACGTAATAAATAAAATTAGCCTATTATATATACTTTGAAAAATTTTTTTATTTAAGCAAATTGAATTTATATAATTTTATATACAAAAATATAATATAAATAAAAATAATAAAAGTTTTTTAAATTGTTCTTATTTTTTATTTTATTTTTTTATAGAAGTTAATACTAACAACATACGTAAATAAATCAGAATTGTACTATGTTGTTGAGGTAGACTTTACTAATACTGTGACTTATAGAGAAAGGTTATATACTATTCCATGGAGAAACTCTATTACTGTATAGTTTTGGCAGTTATTGATAATAGTGTCTAGTCTTTTTTCTCTTTCAATTATACTTTTTTTTGGTTTTAGACACAGTGTGCCACAGAGAATAGTTTCAATTTGATGCTCAACTTGTTGTTGCTCCTTTTGGAATTCAGTAACAATGGTATAAACACCCACGTGAGATTAACCAACCAAATTTTTCCAACGTCAGTGCCAAGCCTCAACAATATTTGATGTTCTAGGAATACCTATTTCTATGGAGTTATACACAAACCACATTTGTGGTGGAAAAAGAGGTGGCGCATGACTATGAGTACCATTACGTATTTGTCATCTTATTTTTCTATGCACGTAATTATTTTCAAACCATTGTACTATTTCATTTGTTTCTGGAAGCATTTTTTCTTTTAAAATATCAAATGCCGTAGGAATTTCTTTTGACGGTAAGAATGCTAATGCAAATAGCTGACGTAGATTGATACTCAATTTCTCATCAGTACTATACTGAGTTGATAGCCCATACTCTTGTATCTTTCTTCAGCCACTTTGTTCTAAGTGAAAGAAGCATCTTTTATTATGAATACCAGGAAACTCGTCATAAGATGCATTAATTGCAGCAAGTTCAAAATCTGTAAAAATCGTTGTAGGTCTTAATAAAATATTACTCTTTTCTGCGAATTCAATTAAATCTTGAAATAACGCTCTATATAATTCTTCAGATTTTTTTATCATTAAAGCATATACTAACAGAAGAACTCTTAAGTTATCTGCAGTGCCAATAGGAGCATGAATTGTATATAATTAGTGAAAAATAGTTGGGACAGTCTTAAAGGTACTATCTATTATCCAATATAACGCTCTAGATAAGTGTTGTATATTGGCTTTTGTAGTAAACAAGATAATTCTATCCTCTCCAATTATAGAATCTCTTACTAAAAAATTCTCTTTATTTAATATTAAACAAAGCAAATCAGATATGTCAATGTCATCAAGATTCTGGGGTTGCAGTGGCATATTTGCTTGCCTAATTCATTTAATTCGTATACGTAAAGTATTTTGTGATAGAATATAGGGATAGATTTCTCCTGGAATACTAATGATACTATTTCGAATTACTTGAGCTGGTTGGTCATTTGTTTCTTTAGCTTATTCTTTTATATTAGCAATACTTTTGGCTACTTTGGCACTACTCGCTTGTGGAGAGTGATTATAGGCTGTAAATTGTTTAAGGTAATATAACTTATTTATAAATTTTGTTATAGCTCGACCTTTACATTCAAGTGACTTTTTTTTTTCACAACACCAATAGTATGTATCCTCATGATACTTGTCTTTTACCATCAAATAACTATGAATATTTATTTTATCCATTCTTTTTTGAAAAGGTACAATTTTACAAATTTCATCTATTATAATAAAAGAATTTTTAAATAAATATTTTTGAAATAAGTAATATATATTTATTTGGAAGGGTGTGGCGACTTAGTGAAGTGGACAAGTTGTCATACCCCAAGTGGCAAGGTCCAGAGTTCAATTCCTACCGGCG